AGGCATAGCTGCTATTCAGACACAGCTAGTATATAGTATTGTTTTGAATTTCTTTTTCAATATTAGCTAGGTGTGTTCGCATAGGCAGGCTAACATTTAACTTGCTACATATGTATGTAAGAGATGTTGTTTCTTTCACGATGTATACCATACTATATACAATATCAAATAAAGAAATGATGCTTTCCTATGAGAGGAAACCCCCCCAAAAAAAAAAAAATTATTAAAAAGTTTTTTATTTATAATATTATATTGTAAAAAAAATAATGAAACAAAATTAAGTTATAAAATTTATTTTATTTTTTTATTTTATTGCTTTATATATTTTAATTTAATTTAATTTTTCTTCCTTTTATTTTTATTTAAATATAAAAAATAAAAAATTAGTTTTAATTTGAATCAAAATTAAATATAAGATAATAATAATTTTATTAAAATGAATTAAAAAAAATTACAATAATTCAATATTTTATATTTATAAATTTAATTGTTTTTTTTTTTAAAATTGAAATCTTTTTTTAATATTTTAATCAATTATAAATTACTTTTAATTTAATTATTATTATATAATTTATCTATTTATACAAAAAATTAGCAAACAAATTATTTGTTATACTTTAAATAATTATTAAAAAAAAATTTATTTATAAGAGAAAAAATAAAATTACTTAAAATATAATTAAGACAATTATTTTTAAACTTTTAATAAAAAATATTTTTTTAGTTTTTTTTTAAATAATTATATATTTAAAATCTCATTTAAATTTAGAATCAAGTCAATTTTGTTATTAATTATCTTGAAAATAATTAAAAAAAAAATCTTGAAACTATCTATTAGTTGAATAAAATTATAATTATTTAAAGACTATTAAAAGAAAAATTATATAATAAGAAATTAATTTTTTTTAAAGATTAAAAGTTTTTAAATATAAAGTTTTAAGAAATATTTTTATATAATAATAAAAATTAAATAAGTTTAATTATAAATAGTTGGTTTTTTTTTTTTTTATAGTAGAATGGTATTAGATGCAGGATTTTATTGCTTATTCATTAGAATTACAAATTTTTGCTACATCAAGCATCCTCTATAATACTATAACTATAGTTAAATACTAGCCTATCTACTTTTTATACCTGGCAACATGCTGTTCACCCTTGAGGTGTGTCACATTGTTTTCAGGGAGACTATTTAGGGTGGAAATCCTACCACTAGTTTTTAAAATCACTATACCTACTAATTCAACTATAAGTAGAAATAACAGACCTGTTAATTATTTTAAATAGATTACCTATTACATTACACCTTTTTGCTCACGTAGCTATAGTTTCAAGGATGTCTTTCTTGGACTTGCCTTAGAACTACTATGAGGATGTCCATACATTAGTATTGGTACAGAGTTTTCTTTAAGGCTTCTTACTTTCAATTGCTAGCAGGAAAAAATTTTGTAACTTGGAATTGGTTGAGATGGAGTACAGTCCAGTCTGTATATCCAAATGTATGGGTGGATTTTTGGCTATACTGGTAATTATCATGTCACCATCCTAATGATTGCTACGCCATTACATCTTATCTGGAAGGTTACAATCTCAACGCTCGCTGAATCAGTGTGTGAAATGGCTTCGCATAAGAAACAGCACTTAACAGGTTATAGTGCCAAATACCATATAAGTACTATTCAATCACCTTCACCTGGAATTGAACTGATATTTTGTGATCTGACTTGTAGAGTATTAACCATTATACTATAGACCCACAGGTCTAGTTATAAATAGTTAATTTAAGTATTGTTTAAAAAAAGTTTTAAATATTAAATAACTTTTTTTGAAAAGAACAAATGGCTATCATGTTTTATTATATTTATTATACTTTTACTTGCAAAGCAAGGTATAATATTTAATAGTATGACATACGTCTCTCTTTTTTAGGAAGAGTTTAATACAAGGCTCCTATATGGAGTCAGACCTCTATGCTTTTTTAATACCATTTAAGGAATATAGATAAAAAGAAATTTAAAAATCTATATTATGTTTATGAATGGCGTCTAGCTACTTAGAAGTAAATAAATACCTAATTACATGAAGATATTGCAGCCAGTCTATACAGGTTGGCCTTCAAGTTATGATTAGGATTGACATGCCTGCTTTCCAAATATGATTTGATGTACGGCAAGTAAAGTAGTATTGAAAATGGTAAGAAATAAGTACCTTTTTGCATAAAAGTGCTGCAACCACTTTATACAGATTTGCTTTCAAGTTATAAAAAGAATTTGGCACATCCATGCTTCAAGTGTGGCAGAAGTGTCCTATGGATGGAGTTTATATTGGTTTTCTTAGTAGTGCTAGAACTTAATCTTATACAATAAACCTATATTGTCGAAGAAGTAGGTGAAAAATTTTCATTGTCATTACCAGCTTGTGTTATGGAGATAACTAAAATTTTTGATCGTCACGTATTACCCTACTGATTTTCCTAATCACTAATATGACACCTGCAACTAATCTAGCTTATTGTTAGCTGTATTGGCATTGACTGCCATTTCACTCTGGATACTGTGGGGCACAACTCCTTGAGTACTTTCGGATAATAATAATTGTACAAAGATTTCTTAAGTGTATCTAGTCTAATCGCCAATTAATAAATAATGCTGGGTTTGGTAATGATGGCCATGTCAATCTTTTAAAGGGAATAAACCATCTATTCTTTTTCTAAGGAACCATAGAAGAGAGAAAAAATTCTAAAGCCCACATCTTGAGAAAGATTACTACTTCTTGATATAGTTTTTGAGAAAAAAGAGTCAAATGATCAGAAAAGTGATGTTATGGAGATGAAGTTTTCAAAAGAAAAAGAGATCTAAAGAGGAAAACCTTTAGGAAAAAGGAAAAAAAATCTAGCTTTGGCAGGAAAAGAAAAAGGAAAAAAGGAAGGAAGGGTAAAAGATAAAAAAAGTATATAGAAGAGAAGGGAGAGAAAAATAAAGAGGTGGGAGAGGGAGCATAGGGAGGGAAAAAGGGAAAAGATGAAAAAAAGGAGCAGACAACTCAAAAATTTCCTAAAAAGGAAATTTTCGAGTATAAAAAGAAGAGTGGGAAAGAGTTTTTTTAATTTTTTTAATATTAAATAACTTAATATTACTTATTAACTATTTTTAATAATAATCAATTTTTTATTTTTAATTTAATTATATTTATATATTAAATAAAATATTTTGTAAAAAAATAAGTTTGTTACTAATTTAGATCTATGAGTCTATAGCACAATGGTTAGTGCTTCACAGATTAGATTATAAGATACTAATTCAACTTTATGTAAAGGCAGTTGAACAGTATCACATAGTATTTGGCATCATAACCCAATATGTACTGTTTCTTATGTGAAGCCATTTCATATGCTAATCCAGTAGGCATTGAGATTGTGATCTCCAGTTAAGATGTTATAGCATGTCGATTGTCTGATTGGTGTTATGATGATCACATTATGTTTGGTGTATTTTCTGATTCCCACACTGATCATTTTTCTTTATTTATAGTTCATGAGACTATAAAAGAAAAATCTGCTAACTTAATTAATTAGGTAACTTTGAAGATAATTATTGTATGGACAATGCTGATATGAAGGAACTATGGTTCTGAAAATTGGAATCGAATAGAATTGAACAGAATTGCATAAGGTTTGGAATACTATTAAAAATAATGATGGGGTATACCCACCTATTAAATTTAATATAAACTTGAGAATTGAATACAGAATCAAAGAGAATCGTTAGGATCCTTAGAAGAGACATTCAAGACCATTTTATAGGAATTGTATCCTGCTTGACATTCGTGCCCCTAGATTTGGCAACCTATACCAATTAAGAGTCTTAGGAAGTATCTACTGGGAGATTTAGGAATTGTGTCTCACTTGATGAAAACCTCCAGATTTGATAGTCTGTACCAATCTTAAAAACAAAACTCTTGAAGTATTTACTAGGAAGTGTAAAGAAGTAAGCCTATAAATATTGCAAAAGTATAAGCCAAAGGTAAGAAAGTGATAAGAACCCTAATAACAGTTAATAGGTACATGCCCTTTGAATAGTCTGCATCTGATATATGAATCCACCTACTTAATGTAGGTTGATATAATTAGATTAGTTAAAAATAATATTAGAGTTAGAATAATTAAAATAGCTAATTAGACTCTTCATGTAACAGTTGTAATTTTGTTTATAAGTTAATAAAAAACTGTCACATGTAATGCGTTTTGTCTCTAAAAAAAAAAAAAAAAAAAAGTTTGTTATTAATTTAAATTATTTAACTTATTAATTTAAAAATTGATTATATCTATTATAAAAAAGATATTATTAAAAAAATTAATTTTAGTTATTTTAATTACCTGTTATTATTAGTTCTCAAAATATATTGTTAACATAGTATAATACTAGTAATTTTGATATTCTTGTTTTTATTATTTGTAATCTTTATATTTTTGTTTGAATTTTAAATTAATTATTTTATATTATTCTTGTTGAAATATTTTATTATTATTATTATTATTTTCAAGTTCTTATTTTTATAAAGTCTGGATAGTTTTATTTAAGATACTTATATTACTTGTCAATGTTCTCTTTTTGTTTCTGAGCTAACTCTTGTATAATGGATTTTTTTTATTCTTTCTTGAAAAAATTTCTTGTTTTTGTGATTTTTTGTACTTTATAATACTTTGTTGACTATCTTGCTCAAACATACAAAAACGGATGTTTACATACCGACGATTACTTTGTTAGGTATGTTTTTTGCTGATCGATTAGAAAAGATATCGATAAAACAGAAAACATCCAAATCTATTTTTCACATAATACGTTTAAACTCCTCTTCGATTTTTAAGCCCCGCACACTAATCCAATCATGGAAACATCCATCCCTTACGATTCCAAGATGGTTGCTTTATTGGTTATCGATATGCAGGTGAGTAATAATGAGCACAGTAAAACTTGATATTTGATATCGCAAAGACTGGTAAAAAATCTTATTATAACGAATTGAGACTCGAAATAAATATATCAATATAACGGTTTTATAGTAAAAAATCTTACTATAACAGGATTTTCAAGAAATTTTACTAATTGAACCTAGGATTATGTTATATCAAATTTCAAAGTGTATTCTGTTCAGGAATTTATAATCCTTCTAAATCTTTTCTTGATAGGAATCACTTCGTAACGAGGTTATCGATATTATTCCAAACGTGCAATCAATTGTCAAAACTTGCCACGAAAAAGATATTCCCGTTTTTTGGACCCAACATGGTCACAGAAATCTCAAATTTGATGGTGGTGCAGTGGGACGATGGGTATGTAACTTAGTTTCGTTCCTTCGCTTTTATTGAGCATTTGGAATTAACGAATCACTATTTCTAAGTGGGGAGATGGTAGTATAAAATGGGGTTCTAAGGAATGGGAAATTTTGAGAGAATTACAGCCGTTCGTTTCGGTTAGTGGTTGACCTTTTTTTTTTTAAAAAAATAAAATCTCACCAAGTTAGGATTAAACTCCCTAACTTCACCTGGTCCCGGAACTTTAATACCGATATCAATATTTCTATCAGCGATCTTCAACCTCAGTCGATATTCTTGATTTCGTTATCAAAGATAAGACACGTTATGATGCCTTTTACAATACTGAACTAGGTTCCTTACTTGTCTCTCTTGGTATCGAGACACTCATCATTTGCGGTGCAGAGACAAATCTATGTTGTGAAGCAACTGCGAGAAGTGAGTACAGCACAATAAACTTATGAAGGTTAACACTCATTGTATGCGAATTAACATCTAGTTTAGTATAATTATTGCTATTGCTCCACAATATACTGGAGCTGGCATGAGACAGTGCTTCGAGGGGAAGGAAAGTTATTACACGACGCGCGATAGTTAAAGAAAATAGGTGCATGAGTGATTGTGAAATCGATGATCATTGTTAAACTTCTTTCATAATGCACATGATTTTTGTGATAAGGAAATTCATTCAATATTCATTCATATCAATATCTACAGGTGGTTTTGACCGAGATTATAATATCATTTTCCTTAAAGATGCAACTATCACAGAGAACAAAGAGATGCATGAGGTAGAAAACGATTTCTTGTAAATGATATTTTTTTTACCAAGTTGTTAAGTTATTAATAAAAAATTTTCTTTACAACCAGGCCACCTTACTGAACTTGGAATACGGATTGGCAAAAATTGCCACCGTCACCGAGGCTATTGAATGGCTCGACAAACATTAATTTCTCAAAACTTGTGGTGGTAAAATTTATTATTTAATATTTCTAAAATTGGGCCTCCCATCAAAACTATAGAGCTTAAATGTAATATATACACTGACTCAAAAATTTTTTTCAGTGTTTATACAATATATATTTTTATTTATAGTATATAACTTTTGAACAACTGATCGAAATAAACCACAAATATAGCCATTGAAATATGGTTGTATCTTTTATTTGATAATAATATTATAGTTTTAAATTATTATTTCCTCGCCAATTGTATCAACTTTAAATTAACTCTATGGTCAAATTTATTACTTTTTTTAATCGATCGTTCAAAAGATATACACTATAAACGAGTCAATTTATACTGTATGTATTTGATGCTGGACATTTGCTTTTGTATAAACTTAAGAAATGTTTATAATCCCATACCATCCGAAACATACTGTAAGTACTGAAATTTTAATTAGCACTGATACTGCATTTAGTAATATAGATACAGTATTTGCCTTACAGTAATTTGATTTTCTTAAATTAGATTAATATAGTAATTTCCACCTTAAACATATTCTCTACAGTATGTTGTTTCCGCAAATGTGTTTATTATATGTAGAGTGCAATTAGCTACATCTTTTTATTGGTGATAATTGGAAAAGTGGAAACGATATAACACAAGAGAACCAAAAATACCTGTTACGACAATGACAACATTGCAAATGTGATAACACTATGACGTACTGAATAGAAATATTACGTAATAATGAAATGGTCCCAATTATACCCCAGGGCATGAATGTCCTTCGCTTCAATTTAGCATCAAAATACAGGTTATTCTTCCGAGACGTAATACAGTATATTTATGATTATTTTTCATCAGGGTAGTGTGAGATCGAATTGACAAGTATTGTAATCTGTGGAAAAAAAAAAAAAAGGATAATAATAGAAAATTAAATTTCATTCAAAAACAGCTGTTTACAACATACAATTTGAAACATACTATTGACAATAGGAATTGTTGGTAAACGGCGACTAGTGTAAAAGGCCAATTGATGAACTAGTTGTGACTTGTCTCGTAAGGAATCAATTTCATCAGCGGCTTTAAATTGATTCACAATGTCCTCATCTGAGCCTTGAAACCAGTTTTGCAATGCATTTACTATGTACTCCGCAGTAGGACGCTTCATTGGATCAGAATCCCAACACTGTTGCATTAGTTTCACATAGCAGGGTGGTGTTCCTTCGATCGGCCTTGGTCGCAAACCATCACAAATACTAAGCGCCAAATCAGTATCATGTGGGCATTCAGAAAATGGTAATTGAAAGGAAGTGAATTCCCACATAATCATTCCAAAACTATATATATCTGCAGCTTTAGTGTATGGTTGTTCGCGTAATACCTCGGGAGCGACATATGGCATCACACCGTTCACCTCAGCAGAAGCTTGTAAAGTTTCGACGTTTCGAGACTGTCCCAAGTCAGCAATGCATGTGATAGAATCAACGAGCACATTGCCGCTATGGAGATCTCTATGTACAAGGTTCGCATCGTGAATATTTTGGAGATCCCGACCAAGTTGCAAAAGCATGTCCAGCCTCCTTGACCATTTAAAATTACCAGATTGGTGGAGAAAATAATGACGCAGATCACCTCTTTTATAATAATCTGTAACAATCATGTACTTACGAGTATTGGGATCTTGTGTAGCTCCATAGCACTCAAAGCCGTTAGGGTTGAACTTCATAAATTGATGAAGCGTTTTTAACTAATAATTGATTCGTGATTCATGAGTGATGTTTTCGAATTCTGGATAAAAACTAACTTAACATTAAAATTTTCAGGTCTGTATCATACTCGTGTAATGTTTAATACAAATCCATAACCTCTAATAAATATTAAACACATTTAAATAAAGATTCGCTTACTTCATTCATGAAGTCGTCAAAACTTCCATGGAGAACTTTCAAAGCAACAAATTCAGTTCCCCAACGCTCCCACTTCTTTTGTTTAGACAGCCACCTCATGATACATCCTCCCTCCCATTTTGATTTATAAACGGTTCCATAGCCACCTTTTCCAACCTCCTCAACTCCAGCAATATTTGCGTAAGGAATCCACTCAAATACTTCTTGCCAGCACCTTGCTGTGAGCTGTGTTTCTCTAAGAAACTTATCGAGTTCCTCATTACCGCTCGTCCAATTTGGAAATTCGGCTTCCAAGCGTTTAGCATTACAGCTTTGACACCATTTTGAACCTGTCCGTTTTTTATTGCACTTTTTGCAGTGGCCAAAATCCTCGTTCATCTATATTGTATCCTTTGAGAAAGAAATTCCTGTCTAACCGCTTCGGTAAGGAGATAAAGAAGCAATTAGTTTTGTCATTTATATGATTATCATCATCGCGTCCGAGTAATGTTGATCCATTTCTTTATCTGGAGTTGTTTTAATACTAAATACATTGTTAAACCGGATGACCAAGATTGTGTAATGGTAAATTTATTTGTTTAATACAGACTAAATTAGGTAATTTATCACCATTTTATAAATTACTAAATCCTCGAAGCGAATGTAGCATTTAAAGATAAAGCCAATACAGTATATACTACATACGTATTTTAAAAATCAATCTATTGAGAAAAAAGGGCAGATGTCCTTCCATAATAAACCTTTTTTATAATTGCTTATTTAAATAATGTCTGACTGACTTAAGCCGACTCTTGAATCACGTGCGGAGGGTCATTGAAATCAAAATCTTAGCGAATAACAATCCACTAAAGATGGAATTAATTTCGAGATGACTGTTGGAGACAACTACAAAGGAAAAACCAATATTTATCACGCCTTCTCATTATTCTGCAATGTAAAATTGCTAAAGAAACCGTTTTGTTATACGAGCCCATGTATATTATAAAAAAATACAAGCAAAAACAAATTCAAACGGGTGTAAATAAATTATTTAATCAATAAAGGTAGGTTTTATAATTTAGCAATAATTTAACTTCATATTTCTTCAATTTCTCTTAAGTTTAAATAAAATTCAGTTGTTTAATACTTATGCAACTTCAAATATCCAATTCTTTGAAACAAAGGATGATTTTTAAGTATTAATAAATAAGAATAGTATAGTCGCATACTCTTTTAATATGGTGGATAAAAACAAATGCTATGAATACAGAAAAAATTATAAAGACTATACAAGCTATGAAAAATTGCAAAAATTGTAAAAAAATTGAAAATAATAAATTTTTGTCAAAAAAAAAAACACATTTATTCTTTAAATAATTAATATTATACATCTAATAAATTGAACTTTAAATATTTTTTTATTATAATAAAATATTTAAAAAAACATATTTTATTTATAATTATATTATTATTTTAATTTTTTTTTTTTTTCTTTTCAACAAGATATTCAAAAATCTTGATTTTATTAACTGTTAATTAAATTTTTATCAAATAAATTTTTGCAAATAAAGATATATAAAATTTACAACAGATCAATAATCGAATTATAATTATTATAATTGTTATTTTTTTTATAAACAAACTCTTATAATAATATTTTTTTTTATTATTGTTCTTTTTTTTTGTCACAAAAAAAACATTAAATATAAAATTTTTATTAATAAGAATTTCTAATTATTATATTAAATATTTTTATTTTTAATTATAAAATAAGTTAATACTAGTTTATGATATATATTTAATTTGAATTTTAATTGTATTGTTTGATAAAACTTTCAATAACATTATTTTAATATTAGTTTAATACTAGTTCAATATTGAAATTTATTATAAATTTATATAATATATTAAATTTACTATAAATTAATATTATTTTAATATTATTTTTAATATCAATTCAATATCTTTTAAACTCCTATTATTTAAATTTATACAATTATAATAATAATTTTTATTAATTATTTTATCATTAATAAGAATTTTGTATTATTATTTAAACATATTAAATTATATAATAATTGTTTAAAAGTTAAATAAAATTTATAAAAAATCTAACTTGTAAATTAATAGTATAATAGGCAGTACTCTTATGTTTAAATTATAAGATATTAGTTTAACTTTAAATAAAAACAATTAAATAATATTAATATAATATTTGATATTATAATTTATTAATTATTATTTTTCATAAAAAATTAGTTTATATATTAATTCAATAAATATTAAAATTATAATTTTTTAAAAAAAATATTGTAATATAATAGTTATTCAATTAATATTATAATAATTTCTAAAAGTTATAAGAAGTATTAGAAGAATTCTATTTTAATTTAATAATAAATTATCCAATAATTAATTATTTTTCTAAAATAATTAAAACAATAATAACTAATAATAACTAAAATAATTTATAAGCAATTGATTTATAAAATAAGTTTTTTAAATATTTTTAAATAGTTTTAAAAAAGATATTTTTTTTTTTTTAATTCAACTAGCATAGCCTTGCCCAATATACTTTATTTAGTTTACATATATATTTTTTGTTACAAGACTTACTATCTATAAGCTATTCTAGGTGCATGTTTTGCTATATCAATTTGATTCCATGTCGGCTTATTGCTATTGACTTACCTTTTGACATGTGTCAAAGCTAACATGCCAAGGCTTCATTAGTGTTGTTATTATATGAAAAGTAATAAAAATCGAAATTAATTATATTTTTTCCCTGGTCTAACCAGTTTTTTAAAAGTTTTTCTTGTAATCTTTTTGCTTCTTTTGTTCTTTCGAAAGAAGATCTGTGCCACCTTGTGTCTACAGCTTGAGTGACAACTTGGCATCTTTGTTTTTCCTCCCCCTTTTTTTTTTGCTTATGTTTTCTTTTCTTTCCCATTGCTGAAAACCTTTGCATCTGTGAGTCCAGAGTCTTTGAAGTTCCTTTGTCATTTTGTTTGTGACTGTTCTTAGTGTGTCTTTAATTTTTTTTCCATTGATTTGACCCACCAGCTCAGTTAGGTTCTTTTTGTAGATTCTTTTGATTATATATCTGATAGTTCTTTCTAAATCATTGATAATGGATTCAAGTTGTCTTCTTCAATTTATTCTTTTTTCTTGTGTTTTTACCTTGCTTGCTATTTCTTCTTTTAATATTTGCAGGTATAAGGTTCTGATCTCATTCCTGTAATGTTCGCTGAATATATGTTCTATGGTTTCCTATCTGTTATACCAAGGGCATATTTTGTCCTTATATAAGTCTGGCCTTCTCTCGTTTAGCTTATCTTTGGTGGAGAGCTCTTTATTAAGCAGTTTGTATCTAAATTCTCTGTTGTTGTGATTGGTGTAGAAGTTTGTAATCTTTGATAGTGACAAGTTTGTCTATGTTCTTCTCCAGTCTATTATTTTCTCATCACCTGTATTTAGCCATACTTTGTGTCTTCTTTGTATTGCCCATATACTGACCTATTTGCTGTTTTGCCATTGCTTCATGAATTCATTGGTTTCTATGTCAAGATCTTTACCATTTTATTGCAGTATTCCTACTATCTCTTTTATGTATTAACAGTTTGTGCCTATGATATATGTATTGTTACATTTGATCTTCGTCCAAGATCATCACTATTCCTTGTCCGATTTTCACTAGCATTTACCCTTGAAATGTTACCCATTCTAGAATAATTCTTGTATTACTATCTTTGTT